TTTTTTATTTCCATTTCCCAAAGCGTAAATATGCTGTGTTCAAAAAACTCGTCAATCTTTCGGAACTGTGCCTTATTAAAAGAGTCTCGAGGATTGAAAGATTCGGCTACATACAAATTGCGTCCCGCTGCAAAAATTCCTTCCAAATTGCGTTCAGGGTGTTTTTTGAGGTCATACTAATTGCGTCCCGGGTTTTTTTAGTGGTCATACTAATTGCGTCCCCAATTAAATAAAACAATATTTCCCTTCCCATTTTTATACAGACTTAGGACTGTCTGTAGAAATAGTTACTACTACAGGTAGGTTAAAAATATTGTTTTTGCTGAATATATTATTTATGTTTTTGTATTTTGTCATAAAATTTAACTGTATAAAAAATATTATAGTTGTTGGTGAAAAATATATGGTTTTTTTTGTAATTTTAATTTTATGAAAATATTATAGTATCGGTAAAAATTTTAAAGATTAACATTTTTAGGAATTCAAACCTACTAATTTTTTTATTGAAAATCTGTCATTGCTTGTTTTAAAAATTGTTCTTTATTAACTATCAATTATATTGCTTTAAAAAAAGTAACACGTGTGAATAAGTGAACCGTTTACACTGCACTGTGACAATAATTGTGTTTGTCTACAGAACATAATTCACGATAAAATTATCAAAGTTTTAACGTAATCGTTTTTATTAAATCTATAATAAATTGACAATAACCAATAATTTTGCCTTTTAAGATATCACATGTTATGGGGAAGCAATTCAGACGTGCTCAAGAAAAACCCAGGACACAATTAATATTATACCTTTTTATAMGGGACGCAATTCGTAAGCAGCGAAAGATTCAGATGTATAGGTTTTTACCTACATATATATTTGAGCTACTCCTGAGTGCGTCCCAAAATGTCCCTTATTTAATGTTCCAAATGCATCCGGAATAAGGTCTCCCCGAGTGCGTCCCAGTTCATTTAGAGTTACCCAGGATGCACCGCGAGGAGGTGAACTGGCTTACACCCCAAAAATATTTGGTTATTTAATTAAATTTATTATAAAAGTTTATTATTATTAAGTTTATTTGATTATTTAGGTTTACATCCATTTTTAAAATGTTAAATCACTACACATGCTGCACGTGGTTGTCAAGGACTAGTTATGAATASTAGATTTCTACGTATGGACTATAGTGTAAATGCAAAATAAAACAGTGTAATATTATAAGATATCAATGCATTTTATCCATAAAGATAATTATTGCTAGCAATAATATCGCGGACGCACATGGGAAATAGGTATCATAATTATTTGCGATATTATCGCGGACGCAATCGGGGTATAAAAAAAGGTACGATATGATTAACAGGACGCACTCGGGCGACGCCCATATATTTTATGCCTGATTAGGTACGTATACGGATAAATTCATTGCATTTTTGTAAACACATTTTCTAAATTCCATATTGATAAATATCACTCGTTGGTAATTATTCATTGTCATGTGTAATGTGAAAAATATTTCAAATATGTTCTAAATAAAGTGCTTTAAATAATAATAATATTTAAAAAAAAAACTCGATTGTTTTAACAGTTATTGGATCTAATACATACGCGAGAATTTTTATATTGTACGATAATCTGAGCAGAAAGCGATCACGAGCCAGTAATGTTACATAATTAATCTTACAAAATTTACACGTTTGTATTTTTTTTTTTTCATACAGAAATTCCATTAAATTCGTGCTGTAATGTCACTAATAACCGGAGCCCTTCAACACATTTTATATTTCTATATATATATATGGATCATTATTATTGTATAATAATGCATTTTATTATAGACTAAAATTAGTATAATAATATATAGATATCCTATTATTGATTAATGTTAATTACTTATTACTCTTGAGCTTTTATGCTCAAGTTTGAGTACCTATAATTGTATTCCGTTTTAATTATCATCATTGATATAGCGCTTGTTTGTTCTCGTTTACTTATATTTCTTTTKCATTTTGAACGAACCCTTTCGTTTCATATAATATATATATATATATAAGTAGATATTTAATGTTCATTCTGGCACAATTGGTTTTTTTATACAGTCAAAAAACTTCTTAAAATTAGCTTATTTTTACCTTTTACATTCAAATTTGGTAACTTTTTTGCATACAA